CCTCACCCCCCCTCAGGGCCATCGCTGAAGTACTGCCCCCCAGACCCTCTTCTAACATGACCACCCCCGCAGGGCTATCACTGAGGTACTGCCCCCCCTCTAATCCCCCCTCCACAGGGCTATCGAGGAGGACAGGGGTCCCAGGGCAGCAAGCAGAGGTGGGTGTCGGGGGTGGTTTGGTGCACAGGACTGGGGTTTATCTGTGGGTGCAGGGCCAGGGTACCTGGGGGGCCATGGGGGGCAGGGTGAGTGCATGTGGGGACACGGAGGGTCTCAGGGGCCATGCCCACGCTGTGCCCATTGCAGGCCCAGGCGAAGCTGACCGAGTCGAGCCAGAAGCTGGACCTGCTGCGCCTGGCGTTGGAGCGACGCGTGGGGGAGCTGCCCGAGGATCACCCCAAGGGCTGCATCATCAAGGAGGAGCTGATCATGGCCACCTCGTCCGCCTTCAGCACCCGCAACAACGCCCCCTACCAGCACAACCAGTACAGCACGCTCTGCAAGCCCTCGCCCCTCACAGGTACCCGCCGCCTGGGTAGCACCCCAGGGCCCACTGGCAACAGTCCCACTGGGGCAAACGCCAAAGTACCGGCCCCCTGGGGCAGCGCCCTCTAGCGCCCTACAGGTACCAGCCCCCAGGGAACAAGAAGTCCGTGAGAGAGCTGGAATAGAACCCAGGAGTCCTGGCTCCCAGCCTCTTTCTGCTCTAACCACTAGCCCCCACTCCCCTCCCAGAGCTGGGGATAGAACCCAGGAGTCCTGGCTCCCAGCCCCCTGCTCTAACGCCCCCCACCCCTTGCAGGGATGCTGGAGGTGCAGCTGCTGGGCTGCAGCGGGCTGCTGGAGTCGGTGCCTGGCCGGACCCGTGGTGGTACCGTCTCGCTGCCCTGCAACAACCCCGGCGAGGCGCGCCCCTCCTTCATGAACCGCAGCGGGCGGGGGCTCTACAGCCGCAGCGGCAGCCTGAGCGGACGGACCATCCTCAAATCCGACGACTTCAGCAGTGAGTGAGCCGGGCGCCCGGCCCCTGGCTGGGAACACCCGGGGGTGGGGTATTGTGCTGCAGGGGGGATTGGGTGAGGGGATTGGAGGCATGCAAGTAGTGATGGGGGAGGGGATCCCGTAGGATTGCTGCAGAGAGGGAGGGAACCGAAGGAGGGTGTTGTGCTGCAGGGGAGGGGGATCAGAGGGATGTGGGAGGGAATTGGGGGGGTGCTGTAGAGGGGATGGGGGAGGGGATCGGGGGTGCTGTGTGGGGTAAGGGAGGGGGAGATGGATTAGACTCTGTCTGCCTCAGCACAAGGCTGGCTTGGAGGTGGAGGATGGTTGTTGATGGGGGCAGGAGGTGGTTGTAAGGAGTTATCAGCTGGCAGGCATTCGGGGGGCATTGGCACTATCACCAAGGCACACTCCCCGCAGCGCAAGGCAGGGCGGTTTCCCCTTGGGGAGAAATCATGACACAGAGTCTGGGGAGACCCTCAATAGAATTAATTTATTGTCAATGCCCCAGTCCTGGGGCAGAGGTGGGCACAGTAGCATTCAGGGCAACCCAGGACCACAGCCCTGCACCAACTCTTGATGCCCAGGAAGCAACTCTGCCCCAAGCACTGACTCTCGCTGGAGAGACCCAGGCTGGGACCAGACTCCCCTGCCGCTTGCAGCAGCTCCCCTGTGAAGCATGGGCACGACAGTGCCACCAGCAACACGCAGCGTGTCTCCCGAGGCTGAACACTCACTCGCACTCAAAGAGCATCAGGCTGTGTAACAGCACCCCCTGGTGGCTACTGGTACAATAGCATTTACCGTGGTACCCACTATGTCAGAGGTGGGCAAACTATGGCCCGCGGGACCGTCCTGCCCGGCCCCTGAACCCCCGGCCCCTCCCCCGCTGTCCCCCCTCCTTCGCAGTCACGCCGCCGCGCGTGCAGCGCTCTGTGTGGCAGGGCCGCACACTCCTGCAGGGCAGCGCAGCAGCGTGTCTGGCTCCGGCCGGGCGGCGCGGCGGCCAGACCTGCTGCTCTGAGCGGCATGGTAAGGGGGCCAGGGTCGGGGGGTTGGATAAGGGCCGGGTGGTCCAGGAGGGAAGTCAGGGGACAGGGAGCAAGGGGCGGTTGGATGGGGCAGAGGTTCTGGGGGGCGGTCAGGGGACGGGGAACAGGGGGTGGTTGGATCGGCTTGGGAGTCCCGGGGGGCCTGTCAGGGGGCGGGGTGGTGGGTAGGGGTTGGGACAGTCAGAGGACAGGGAGCGGGGGGATTGGATAGGGGGTGGAGTCCCGGGGGGTGGTTAGGGGCGGGGGATCCCGGGAGGGAGTGGTCAGGGAACAAGGAGCAGGGGGGGTTGGATGGGTCGGCAGTTCTGAGGGGAGCATTCAGGGGGCAGGAAGTGGGAGGGGCCGGATAGGGGGCGGGGACCAGGCTGTTTGGGGAGGTACAGCTTTCCCTACCCGGCCCTCCATACAGTTTTGCAACCCCAATGTGGCCCTCGGGCCAAAAAGTTTGCCCAGCCCTGCACTATGTGCTGGGAGCTTCCCAAATGCTCAGCCGGCAGGGCCCGGCTCCAAGGAGGCAGCGGTAGGACGGACAGGGGGTGACGTGCGCCTCTCCCCGCAGATGAGGTGAGCGCCGTGCTGAAGCTGGATAACACTGTGATGGGGCAGACGGCCTGGAAGCCTGTGGGCCAGCAGGCCTGGAACCAGACCTTTGCCCTGGAGCTGGAGAGGGTGAGTGTGGGGGGGAGGCGCAACCATTGGGCCCTGCTGCTCCAGGACGCTGGGTCTGGTCAAAGGGCAGCCATGCACCTGAATCAGATGAGCCTCTCTGAGGGAGGTGGAGCCAGGAATAGAACCCAGGATTCCTGGCCCCCAGCTCCCCTCCTCCCTGCTCTA